TTTGATCCATTTTGAGTTAGTTTTTGTGCATGGTGTGAGGTATGGGTCTTGTTTCAGTTTTTTGCAGATGGATATCCAGTTACGCCAGCACCATTTGTTAAAAAGACTGTCTTTTTCCCAGTTAATGGACTTTGGGGCTTTGTCAAATATCAGCTGCTCATAGGTGGATGAATTTATGTCTGGATTCTCAATTCCATTCCATTGGTCTATATATCTGTTGTTGTACCAGTACAAGGCTGTTTTGACTACCGTGGTGGTATAATAGATTCTAAAATCAGGTAGTATGAGGCCTCCCACTTTGTTCTTCCTCAGTAATGCTTTACTTATCTGAGGCCTCTTCCCTTTCCATATGAAGTTGGTGATTTGTTTCTCCTCTCATTAAAAATGCCAGTGGAATTTGGATCAGGATTACATTGTATCTGTAGATTGCTTTGGATAGAACTGACATTTTCACAATGTCGAATCTACCTATCCATGAACAAGGTATATTTTCCCACTTGTGCAGGTCTCTTTTGGTTTCTTGCAGTAGTGTCTTATAGTTTTCATTGTATAGATCTTTTATGTCTCTGGTTTGATTTATTCCTAAGTATTTTATCTTCTTGGGGCCTATTGTAAATGGTATTGATTTGGTGATTTCCTCTTTGAGGTTCTCTTTGCTGTTGTAAAGGAATCCAACTGATTTTTGTATGTTTATTTTGTATCCTGAAACTTTGCTGAAATCTTCTATTCGTTCCAGTATTTTTCTTGCGGATTCTTTGGGGTTTTCTGTGTATAAGCTTATATTGTCTGCAAATAGAGATACTTTGATTTCTTCCCTACCAATTTGGATGCCTTTTTTTTTCTTTTTCTAGCCTAATTGCTCTGGCTAGGACCTCCAGTACAATGTTGAATAAGAGTGGTGATAAAGGGCATCCTTGTCTGGTTCCCATTCTCAAGGGGAATGCTTTAAAAGTGAGCCAACTTTAAATTGATAGGAAAGCCCCTTGAAAAGTAAAAACAATTTGACAAGTGTGAAACAGAGGCCTTTCCCAGTATGAGCGTTGTGCATAGTGGGTGTTTTACAAATGATTGTTAACTGATGTACACTTGGATACTTGGCTGGCATGCAAAGCTGACTACCGTTTGCATAGTAGGGATATGAAGGGCAGTAGGTCTTGTTAACATTTAGCCCTGTGGATAGAGCCTAGTACTGTGAAAAACCAGGAAGTCTCCAGGACTTGCTGTTTTCTGAGGGGCATGACCGGTTAAAAATGACCCAGCTGGATTGCAAGAACCACAGGAACACTCATGCTTATGTTTGCTAAAGCATAATTTTTGGAGCGTAAAAATCCTTTCCTTAACTCCTTGTTTTTTTGTTAGTATTCATTTTGTTGGCCAGAGACATGCAGTTTAGAACATTTTTAAAAACTGTGTCTTCTGGCCATAAACATATCGTCCAAAGCAACAACTTGTTTCTGGCTCTACTTTGCCTGGAAGAGTGAATTAAGAGATCCACCCCACCCTGTCCCCTGTGCCTAAAACAGCAAGCAGCACTTGCTCTTACTTCTCGGTGATTTAAGGAAGAAGCTAAATGATATGTGGTACTCAGAGTGGAAGGTCATGGTCTGTATTAACCCAATAATTGTTGCTTTGGGTTCAGGGCATATAATAGTTCCTTGCTAGACTTATGAGGGGCTCTGATCTTCTTACAAAATTAACTTTGTAGTTCAGGTCACACAAACCTTCTTCAGCTCTGCATTAGATCATAGGCCACTTCAGGGCAGACAGGTGACTGAATCATCTTTGTATCCCCTATACAGAGTGCCTAGCACAGATAGAGCGACCAACTGCCCGAGTTTTCCCAGAAGTGAAGGATTTCCCAAGACATGGGACTTTTAGTACTAAAATTAGGACAGCCCCAGGCAAACCTGGATAAGTTGGTCACCCTGTCAGGGCATACTGTCACCCTATCAGGGCATAAATTATGTAGTGAAGGGACTCAAAGGTCTGGGAGGATTATGCATCATCCCTCCATATTTTAACAAAAGATGGAAGATTTAGATAAGAGATAATGTTGGGTGGCTACAAATTGATTTTTAGCAAGACTAAGTAGAAGAGGAGAAGCTTTAGCTGCCACTCTTTATTACTAGATTTAAATTTTCCCTATTTAACCCTTTTTCTGCACTGCCACTTACCTAATTTCAAACCATTAGTCAATCAATCAACACTGATTGAGCCGCCCTGTGTAAAGTCCTGTGCTAGAGTGCTGAAGACCTTGCTATTCAAAATGTGGTCCTGGACCAGCAGTATCTTATCTGCTAGGAGCTTGGTAGAAATGCAGAGTCTCAGGCCCCATCTCAGACCTTTTGAATCAGAATCTGCATTTTAACACTATCCTCAAGGAATTTCTATGTGTACTATATGGTTGCTATGATGCAGAATCGACTTGATGGCAATGGTTATAGGGGATTTAAAGAAAATCAGGCCCAGCCAGGCTGCCAGCAAGGAATTTACAGAAGAGTAAGTAATGAATACATATGATAATGTTGCCAATAACATTCTAAAGCATCACTTACTCACATGCAGAAGGACTCTGGAAAGGTTGTTTTGAGGGTTATATAGTAACTTTATAAACTGTTTGAGGAACTTCCAGACTGTTTTCTAAAGTAGCTACACTGTTTTACATTCCCCTCAGCAATGTTATGAGGGTTCTGATTTCTCCACATCCTTGCCAACAGTTGTTATTATCTGACTTTTTGATTCTAGCCATCTTAGTGGGTGTGAAGTGGCATCTCATTGTAGTTTTGATTTGCATTTCCCTGATCACTAATGAGGTTGAATATCTTTTCATGTGCTTATTGGCCGTTTGTACATCTTTGGAGAAGTGTCTATTCAGATCCTTTGCCCATTTTTTAATTGGGTTGTCTTTTTACTATTGAGTTGTAAGTATTCTTTATATATTCCAAGTATAAGTCCCTTATCAGATATGTGATTTGCAAATATTTTCACCCATTCAACAAACTCACTCCCATTCAACAATTTCTACATGTAATGTTCAGTGACTGTGGTTACATTCTTCACATTGTGTCAACATTCTCATTATTTCCATCCTAGTTGTTTCATATCCATTAACTTAGTCTCACTGTGCCCCCAAACTTCTCATCTATGCCTGAGGGTAACTGTTGTCCATTTGGTCTCATACAGATAATTTTTTAAAAGAGTGCAGTACTTAAGGGTTTCATTCTTTACTTTTTGAGCTAAACTGCTATTTAGTTTAGAGGTGACTTCAGGGGATAGTTTCACTTCAAGGTTTAAAGTTTATCTCATGGAAAATCTTGGGTGTTCCTTCAGTCTAAATGGGTCCAGTAAGTCTGGATTCTTTTGGAATTTGAAGTTTATTTCCACATTTTTCTCTCTTTGTGTCAAGATCCATCTATTACGTCCTTGATAAGAACGTAGGGTAATGGTAGCTGGGCACCATCTAGTTCTTCTGGTATCAAGATAGAGGACACACTGGATCATGGAGACAGTCGGTTCTCTAGGGTGGTTCCTTCTCTGATTCTTGGGTTTCCTTTTTTCTTTCTTTTGCTCTGGATGAATAAAGACCAATAGTTGTATCTTAGATAGCCACTTGTAAACTTTTAAGACCCCAGACACTACTTAAACTAGGAGGTAGAACATAAACTTTAAGAACTATATCATGCCAGTTGACTGGATTGTCCCACAAGACCATGACCCTGAGTCTTCAAACTGAGAGAACTAATCCTGGAGGTGATTTGTTATGTCTAAGAAGTATCAGCATCTGTAGCCCTTATTTATTTTATTACATATTTTTTGGTTGCTGTTGTAAAATTTTATATACCATTGCAATTGCCAATTCATCCCTTTTCTTGTGTACTACTCCGTGGCATCAATTACATTAGTCAAGTTGTGCAAATTTCACCCACATTCGGTGCTACTTTTCCCACACCATAAACAAAAAGTGACTACTACCTAGAGAATGATTCTCCATCTGCCCCCACCTTAATTTCTTGATAGTGTCCTCTGAAACACAAAAGTTTTTAATTTTGATGAGGTCCAAGTTATCTTTTCTTTTGTTGTTTGAGCTTTTGATGTCATATATAAGAAACTATTGTTTAATCCAATGTTATGAAGATTTATACCTATGTTTTCTTACAGGAATTTTATAGTTTTAGCTCATCCATTTAGATCTCTGATCCATTTTGAGTTAATTTTTGTATATTGTATGAGGTAGGGGCTCAACTTCATTCTTTTGCATGTGGATATTCTCTTGTCTCAGAACCGTTGTTGAATAGACTGTTCTTTGCCCCGTTGAATTGTGTTGTCACCCTCGTGAAAAATCAATTGACCGTAAATGTAAGGGTTTATTTCTGGACTCTCAATTCTATTCCATTGATCTATGTTTATGCCCTATTCTTTTTAACATCTGTGTAGTATTTGATTATATGAACAAGCCACAACTTACTCAAATAGTTGTCTATTGAACATTTAGGTTGTTTCCAATATCTGGCTCTTACAAAGAAGACTGCATTGAATTTCCTTGTAAATATGTCCTTTTGCTTATGTGTGAAATTATTAGTAGAATACTTCTTAGAAGTGGAAGTGTGAGTCAAGAAGTTATGTGCATTTAATATTTTTATAAATACTAAAATATTCTCCTTAGAGGTTGTATAATTAACTCTCTTTGTAACATTGTATAGGAGTATCTAATTACCCATACCTTACTAACACAATGTATTATCAAGCTTTTCGATCTTTGCCATTATTATAGGAGGAAAGTGACATTTTATTATAATTTTAATTAGCACTCAGTTTATTAAAAGAGAGATTGAATGTCTTTTCATGTGTTTAAGAGGCATTGCATTTTCTTTCAAGTCAACTGTCTATTCATCTTCTTAACTCACTTTTTTCCTATTGGGTTATTGTTCTTACTGGTTTTTAGTAACTTTTTGTATATTAAAGATATTAGCTATTTATATATTTATCATTTGTCTGTTGAATTTGTTTATTATTTTTGAAATCCATATATTTTTAAAAATTTTTATGTAATAAAATTTATCAATTTTTCTTTTATGACTTCAAGGTTTATAAAATACTTAGAATGGGCATCTCATCTCTGAAATTATATAAAAATAAACATTCTGCCAGTTTTCTTCTAGTTTTTTAGTGCATTCTTTTTTATGTTTGAATATTTGATCAATTTGGAATTTACTTTTGTGAAAGATGCCAGATAGGAATTCAGATTTAATTTTTTTTCAGTGCTACTCACTTTTTTTACTTACTGAATCATCAATAGGTTTTTCATTGATGTGAAATGCCATATTTATCATTTCCTGTACCCTGTACTTCATCTTGGTTTATTTCTAAATTTTCTATTTTCTTCCATTGGTCTGTATGTTCGTGCTGTATTAAGATATTTTAACTATAGCTGTTTTATAAAATGTTTTAATGTCTGGGATAAAAACCCAAACCAAACTTGTTGCTGTTGAGTCGATTTTGACTCATAGCGACTCTATAGGACAGAGTAGGACTGCCGCATAGGGCTTCCAAGGAATGGCTAATGGTTTCGAACTGCTGACCTTTTGGTTAGCAGCTGAGTGCTTAACCACTGTGCCACCAGGGCTCCAATGTTTAGCATAAGATCCCCTTTATTCTTATTTTTGAAAATTTTTTTTTGGCTATTATTGTTGTTTACTTTTCATTGAACTTTAGCATTAACTTGCCTAGTTTAAATAAAAATCCTGTTTTAATTTTTATTGGGATTACATTAACACTTTAGACTAATTTAGAAAGATATGCCATCTTTGTAATGTTTATTCTGTCTATCCAATTTATTTAAGGTTACTTTTGGATTCCTCAGCAACATTTTAAAGTTTTCTTCAAATTTCTTCTTATTCCTGAATTTTTCTTGTCAAATTTTTTTTCCTGATAATTGTATATTTTATATTGCTATTTTAAATGGGCTTGTTTCTTCTATTTTATTCTCTAATTTCAAAAAGGAGCCCTGGTGGCAAAACGGTTAAGTGCTCAGCTGCTAATCTAAATGTTGGGAGTTCTAACCCACCTAGTGGTTCTATGGGGGAAAGACCTCGTGATTTGCTTCCATAAAGAATATAGCCTAGAAAACCTTTTGGGGCAGTTCTACTCTGTCACATGGTGTTGCTATGATTTGGAATTGACTTGTTAGCACCCAACAACAGCAACAACAACAGCAACATTGTAGTCTTGCCCTGATTTTTAGGGTATTATTTCACCTGGTCAAATTCTCACTAAAAGTTTTCATCAGGTTGTATAAGTTTCCTTTTTCAACTGACATTCTGGGGGAAGATAACCTTGCTCCTGTACTTCCTTTCCACTCTTAAGAGGTAGTGTCTATTTGGTGGGCTTTCTTGTACCCCCTTGTGGGGAGATGGTGGACCAAAATCATTTCCTTCATCAGTAATAAATGGGGCTTTCTGTTCACATGTTGGCAATTTTTTTTCTTTTTTCTTTTCAGCAGCTATACAGAGGGCTGCTCCTCAAAATGGGAAAGTGTGTCATGATATCATATGATTGGCGCCATCTTGCTTTTTTACCTGTGTCTGCAGTGAGGATACAGGGGTTTCTGTGGTTGCTCTTCAGTGGTCAGCAGAGAAATCCTAATTGCAATGGGTGGTGAGGCCAGTCACTTATATACCATCGTGGGTGACCAGAATTTAGTATGTTGTTGTTAGGTCCTGTCAAGTTGGTTCTCCACCCATAGCGACCCAGTGTGACAGAGTAGAACTGCCCTAGGGTTTTCTAGGCTGTAATCTTTATAGGAAGAGATCACCAAGTCTTTCTCCTGTGGAGTCTCTGGGTGGGTTCGAACCACCAATCTTTTGGTTAGCAGCTGAGCACTTAACTGTTGTACCTTCAGGGCTTCTTGAATTTTATATGTGTGGTATCAGATCACAAAGCTGCAAGGGCTAAGGTTGTTATTTAAAGATGAGGGAAATGAGGACCACTGAGCTAAGAAACAGTAACATAAAGACCTGCTTTTAAGTGGCAGAGCAATCTGGGCCCTGACTCTACTAAGTCTGCTGCTCCTTTTACCATGATGCTCTTTTATGCTTGGTTTCTTGGGAAAAGAATAAGTTTTATAGGAATGGCGGGGATAATATTTAAAAACCTAGGGTAGTAAGAGTTTTCAGAAACTATTTTACTCATGGCAGTATTGTACCTCTATGTTTTATTCTTAAATATCTCCAGGAATGTCTTCCTACTTCTCTCTGCCCTCTAGTTACCATTTCTCTATTTATATATGGTAGGCTATATATTTAACTTCAGTCTTTTTCTGCAGTTTGAGCATTGCCTTGTGTTTTGACAAATTAAGGAGATTCATGTTTTGTTAATTTGGTTTAATCTCTCTTGGGGATGCTTAAGTTTTTCTCTGCCTATAAGGCTGTGGATACCACCTGAAAATGTTGTTTTTGTTACAGGAGGTCTCTGGGCCACCATCCGAGGTTCTGGTTTGGAAGGTATTAGCCTGGTGTTATTTGGATCTCAGTCTTGTGCCATTAATGTCAACACAAGCAATTCACAAAGAATTCAATGTAAAGTTCCACCCAGGGTAAGTGGAATTGTCTGGCATCTCCTTCTCTCTGGATGGATTACCATTATTAACACATAGCATAAAGTTTTGAGTGAATCACTTCTTGGAACAAAATTAACTGACATAACCTCTCACATGGAAGTGTGTTTGTATTGCCTGTCTTGCTATGAAGTGGGAAACAGACCCCTACAATAGGGCTTGTAGTTAACATCGGTTAATTCTTTTAAAAAGAAGACAACTAGGCAGTCCCAGTCCACATTCTTAGTGAGTACTATGCCACAGAAGAATGAACAAATCTGTCCTGGACGAAGGATAGCCAGAATGCTCCTCAGAAGCAAGGATGGGAAGATTTAGTCTCACGTACTTTGGGCATGTTGATAGGAGGGGCCGGTCCCTGGAGAAGGATATCATGCTTGGTAAAGTAGAGGGTCAACGAAAAAGAGGAAGACCCTCAACAAGATGGATTGACGCAGTGTCTGCAACAGTGGGCTCAAACATAATAATTATTGCAAGGATGATGCGAGACTGGGCAGTATTTCTTTCTGATGTACGTAGGGTTGCTATGAGTCAGAAATGACTTGACGCCACCTAACAACAACAACAACATTATGCCACAGAATAAATTTATCTAGTGCACATTCTGGGTTTGGGTTTGCGAGATTTACACATCTTGTAATCTCACCCTGCTTTTAAACAAACGAATAACTTAGTTTTCACCAGCAATTTTGTTTTCTTGTGTGGGTGTGATGGTGGAACTTGGAAACTTCTAAAATGTCTGGTTCTTATGAAATAGCTTCCCAATTGTTCCCTACTGCCTCTTTCTTCTCTTAAAACCAAGACCCTGAGCTCTCTCTTTCTTCTTCAGTTAGTGATATCTCATTGCCTATTAAAGGATTTGAGTCCAGGCCCTTCCCTGGTGCTTTTGGGGAGAATCATGCTCACAGCTACAGTTGGACTTTCTATTAAGAAATTGACTTCAGTGTCATCAACATTCCTAGCACACCCATGACCCTGGCAGAAGACCTCACCATTCATTTTCAAAGACCAGTGTCAGTTATTAGCTATGGACTCCATTCAGCCACAGTCTATCTTTCTCTGTAACATTTTCTCCTTTTCCTAGTTTTCCCTAGCTCTAGGAGACAGCATGGTGTTAAGCTCAAAGACTAGTGAGTCAGACTGCGTGGGTTTAAAAATTAGCTCCACTATTTACCAACAGTGTGACATTAAGACAATTACTTAGCTTTCCCATGCTTCAGTTTCTTCATCTTAAAATGGAAATAATAATAGAGCTTACTTCATAGGTTATTAAGAGGGTAAAATTACATCAGTTAATGTTTGTTAAGTACTTAGAATAGTGTCTGATATTTTTAAGTATCTGTTAAATAAATGAAAAAAACTTTTTGTTTTCCTACTTATTCACCACCTCAGTTTCAACTGAAAGTCATCTGTAAGGACTTTATAGGGCTTTTTAGTATAGAAATCAGTAATCTATGGACTGTTAGGGTCTTTGAAAAGTCATGTAGTTTAGCTTCTTGGGATCCCCGAAAGATGGTCGTCTCCTGAACAAATAAAGATCCCCTGAGAAGGAGGGTTCAGAATATCCTTTGATCACTGGTTCCACATTTTAATCTCATCTAGCTTCTTAAATGTTATGAAAAGTTAGCTTTTATATGTAAACTTCATGCAATTCCAATATATGGCTGTACCATAATTTGTTTAACTAGTTTCCTATTATTGGACATTTAGATAGTTTCCAAATTTTCTCTATTGTAAACAACAGAACTTTGATCATCCCAGTAACTATACTTTTGGGTACATTTATTTTCTCAGGATAAATTAATCCAACTTCTAAAGCTTTTGATATGTGGCATCCAGTTGTCTGAAAGTCCTTTTCAGTTTATACTTCTACCCTCATTGTGCTAATGTCTGATTTCTGACACTTTTGCCAACCTTGGATATTATCACTTTAGTATGTTTTTACCATTTTAATGGGTAACATTTATATTGTTTGGATTTCTTTTACTAGAGAAGATGAACATTAAAAAAGCAAACTTTAATTTAGATCAAAGTAATACATGCAAATGTTAAAAGGAAATAGTAAACGAATCATGCTCTCCCACCCTCTTCCCCGTCCTCAAGTCCCCTTTCTGAAACCAATCCACTGCCATCGAGTGGATTCTGACTCATAGTGACCTAGGACAGAGTAGAACTTCCCCATAGGATTTCCAAGGCTATAAATCTTTACAGAAGCAGACTGTCACATCTTTCTCCCTTAGAGCACTGATAGATTGGAACCGTTGACCTTTTGGTTAGCAGTGGAGCACTCAGCCACTGTGCCACCAGAGGTCTTCCTTTCTGAAACAACCACGTCCAATTATTTTGAATATAGTTACAGTATCATTTTTGTTAAATCAGTAAACTGTGTTTACATTATCGATATTATATGCTGGTAGAACCAGGTAGTATTTTTTTTTAACAGTGCTGTGTTTTTTTCCCCAAAATTCCCAATTTTTTCCTGAAAATGTCTTCTTTATAATAAAAACCTTCCATCTTTTGAAAAACTTCAATCATATCAGCTTTTCTTTTCCCTTAGAGATCTCTTTTCTCCTGCTGCAATCTAGATTGCATGTTTTGTAGACTTCTTCCACAGGTTTCACCTTTGTAATTCCCTTTACGGGTCTCCTGGTAGAGTCACTGTGTCCTGGTTACCTCCATGTTTTATGAGATCATAGCCTTAAGAAACCTCCTAAGAAAGGGTATGTTGGAAGGAAATTTTCTGAGTACCTGCATGTCTGAAAATATTCTCACACTTGGTAGTTGTTTAATAGGTATAGATGTTTATTTGAAGTTGCCATTTTTTTGCAGGTCAGAGACGATTTAATATTGGCAATTTGCTATGGTTCAACCCTTAGATAAAAAATATTTTTTCCTCAGAATTTTGAAAGCATAGCTCATTTGTCTTCTAGCATCCGATATAGCTGTTGTGCTTCAATGTAATTCTGATTTTCAGCCCTTTGTAGGTGAGGTTTGTGAGTCCCCAAGACAACCCTCAGGTTCAGTTATTTGCTAGAAGGGCTCACAGAACTCACAAACACTCACATTTATGGTTATTACAGTGAAAGGATACAGATTAAAATCAGCAGTGGGAAGGGCACATAGGCCAGGGTCCAGGAGATACCATGCATGAGCTTTTAGTTGCTCTCTTCCAGTTGAGTGGTGTAGACAGTGTTTATTTCTCAAAGTAACAATTGTGGCAACTTGCATGGAGTATTGCCAACCCTGGATGCTCATCTGAGTCTTTGTGTCCAGGATTTTTATTAGGGGTTGATCATGTAAGCATGGCTGACCACCCACATGGCTGACCTTAGTCTCCAGCCCTTCTAGAGTTTAAGCTAATACCACGTGGCCCAAGACCCCATGTAAACAAAGACACCTTATCAAGCAGAATATTCCAAGGGCTTAGAGGTGACCTCCCAGTAGGTGGGCAAGGGCCAGACCTTCCTTTTGGCAGAATTAATCCTTTACTTCCCAGTAAGTAACTTTGTTTTTTTTCTTTCTGTGAGCTCTTAAGATTCTTTGATTTGACAGTGATACACGTTGGCATGAATCTTAGTTATTATGATGAGCATTTGATGGACCCTCTCAATCTGGAGACTCATGTCCTTTAGCTCTGAGACCTTTCGTTTCCTATGCAGTAAATTTTCAAATATTCATTGGGCATTTGTAACTTCGTTTTTCTACTCTGTAACACATGGGGTCATCATGAGTTGGAATTGACTTGCTGGCAATGGGTTTTTTTTTTTTCCTCTTTTTTTGTGACTTACTAGTGTGTGCCCATTGCCCAGATCTTTTTTCCCCCAAGTTGGAATAATTATCTCTTTCTTACTGATTGATCTTTGTGTATTAAACACATTAATCCTTTGTCAAATATTTCAAGCATTTTCATCCTAGTTTGTTGTTTTGCTTTTCAGCTTATAGAGTATTTTGATATAGCATCTCTTCTTTCCTGTAAGTCATAGCTGGGGTAAATAAGGGGTAAATGGATTTTGAACAGGTAAATTTTTATCAGGTAAGATTGAAAGAACATAATGGTGATTGAATAGATGTGGTGGGGTGTCTTAGAGGGAGAGAGAGGCCAAAGGTGATTCTCAGTTTTCCAGCCCAGACTGCTGTGGATTAAAAAGTAAATGTTAGGAGGGAATTGAAGAAAATAGATGTAGACAACTCTTTTGGGAATTCTGGATGCTGGATGGAAGTGTACAGGTAAAGAGATTTATGTAGGATGAAGGTGACATTTAGGAACATTTAGGAACTCATATACTGGTTCATTGAAAGGACTTTGTAAATCCTTCTTAATTTGAATGTTTCTAATTTATTTATTTTTGGTTAAATTTTCCAAGGTTTGGACTGGTGGGAGGAGAGTACAGGTTGAAGGACTAAGTTGGTGATCATATATAACCAGAAATAAAAAACACAGGGCTAATACATGTGCTGGGCAGTGTATCCAAAAACAAAACAAAACAAAACAAAAACCAAACCCATTGAGTTGGTTCTGACTCATGGAGACCCCATGTGTGTCAGAGTAGAAGAGCTCTATAGGATTTTCTTGGCTACAATCTTTACAGAAGCAGATTGCCAGGCCTTTCTTCAGCAGTGCCACTGTGTGGTTTCAAACTACCCACCTTTAGGTTGGTAGTTGAGCTCAAACTTTGCACCACATAGAGACCTGGGCAGTATATGTTATTGTTCTTGTTTGGTGCCACTGAGTCAATTTCTGACTCATAGTGACCCTATATGATAGAGTAGAGCTGCCTCATAAAGATTTTCTTGGCTGTAATCTTTATGGAAAGAGATCACCAGGTCTTTTTCCCACGGAGTTCCTGGGTGGGTTCAAACCACCAACTTTTTGGTTAGCAGTTGAGCACTTAACCGTTGTGCCACCAGGGTTCTTTGGGCAGTGTATAGAACCTATTAAAAATATCAGTTTTCTTCTAGGACCTTGGGTTCTGCTAAATGTTCTGGATCTTCTTTCACATGGAAGATTTAAATTCTGCTTCAGTGCTACAGGCTGAGCAAACTTGTATTAAATTATTGATCTTCTAGAAAGAACTCTGAAAAGTCACCGGTACTCTTTTTCTGGAAGGCAGGATGTTACTAAAATCTCAAAATGATGAACATCCTACCAAAAGATAAAAATTCAAAGTTGAAAGACAAAAAGAAATAGAAACATAATATATTTTATTCATTCTTTTTTGTTCTGAAATTGGAAATTATAGTACAATTATATTCACATTTCAGAACTTAGAAATTTGTCATAATTTAAAGGGGATTAACCTGAAATTTACCTTTTTAATAGTTTTGAAGAAAGGGTTTATTGTGCAAATCTGTATTTGGAGGGTGGCCTTGGGGAATTGTACCTGCATTCTTTGGAGAACAAACTATTTTTAGCCTTCCACAAACACATTAGTAGCAACCATTTACTCAGGAACAATTGGCATGTTAATTGCAAATCATTCTTATTTACCCTTTAGAGCAGGTCCCTCTGCATCTGTTAAAGTCTCTACTTGGATAGATCAAGCACTTACCACTGTGTGTGTGTGTGTGTGTGTGTGTGTGTGTG